GTTTCCTTATTAACACTGTTGCATGCAGAGTTTGGTGCTGTCCCTTGTTGCTTTTCTGTTCCAACACCTTTACCCTGATATGCTCTCAGACTCAAAGAGAGAGTCATGATGTCACCATCACTGTCTGATGTGCCATGCCCTCTTGTACAAGTCTGACAATCTTTCTTGGACCTTCCCCTGCTCTGGCACACACGGCTAAAATGGTTCAACTTGCTACATGACTTGCAATGTTGTCCTTGTAAGGGGCACTTCTCCCTTACCCACTCATGCTGTCTCCCACAGTAAATGCATCTCACTATGGGTGTGGAACCCTCGCTGACTGCTCTCCTTTACTGTTGTCTCACTGCATGTACTTCTGGGGTTGTGGTGTCTTCTAGGGCTTTAATCCTTTCTCTGGAAGCTTTTGCTGAATCTCCCATCTGTTTAATGTGAGTTTGCTTTCCCAGAGCAGCTGCTCCCACACATGGTGATCCCAAGTACTGCAGATTATCTTGTCCCATATCAGGGAGTGTGTTAACTCCACAAAATTGCATGTAACAGCCAGTGTACATAAAACAGTAACACAGGGATCTACCCCGTCCCCTGCAGATTGGTCTCTATTGAAAACTGAGTTGCTTCACAGTTTTGTTCTGCTTTGGGGAGCAACAGTTACCCAGGGCCCTAAGACTGTTATAAGACTTGAATTTCAGAGTGCTACAGACCTCTATGCCTTGTTCCTCAATAAGTCACAGTTCTACTTTCCTGCTGCTCTCATCCTTCTGTCTGGCCAGGTCTGTGTATAGCTTGAACTCCTTCCACTGGGTCCATCACTGGGCTATGTTTGTGTCTGCAAAATCCACAGCTCTGGGGGGCTTCAGACCAAGTTCTGTGGTTCATGCTGCCAGCTGCTGCACTGCAGAGAACTCACAGCTCAGATGCTGCTACCATGTTTCATTAGCAAAGAGCGAAGCTGAATGAACGTTAATATGAACAAGTAGACCTTTATTAAATCCCGCACACTGTCAGTGGAACTTGGAACACTGGAGGAGTTAGGCTGGAAGCAAAGCAGCCATATGGACAGAGCATTGCACAGGATTTAATAAAGTTCTACTTGTTCAACTGGTGTCCTGTCAACAATAGTTCTTCCAGGGAACAGGGGCCCTCTGACTCCAGTTCCACTGATTATGATACAACACGCACTTAGGAAAATCCAAATGATTGAAGTTCTTTCTTTAGATCCCTGATCACCTTTGTGCTGCACCCTCAGCTCCAGCTCTTGATTCAACAATAAGATCATTTAAAAAAAAATAAGCCCAATCTTGCAGCCCATTACTCTCCCAACTAGTCCCTCTCAAGCCAATACATTACACTGCCACACATTCACTCACTAGCAGAATAAAGTTGAGATGTAGTAACAGAGTCAAAAAGCTTGAGAGACATGGTTGCTGTTTAGGGGACAGATAAAGAGGCAGATAAACAGGCTATTTTGCAAACACAAAGAGATTGCTCAATAAAGATCAAGGATCCATTCCTTATTCATGCAAATATTTGCATTGGTCTTCGCTTATAACATTCCTGGAATCCCACAGGCCTCTGTTAAGGCCTGGTCTACCTTTAAAATGTAGGTCAACCTAGCTACGACACTCAGGGTTGTGAAAAATCCACACCCTGGAGCAACTTAACTATGCCGATCTAACCCCCAGTGTAGATGTAGCTAGGTTTTCTGAAGAATGCTTCCATTGACACAGCTACTGTTGCTTGGGGAGATGGCATTCCTACAGTGATGAGAAAATTCCTTCCATCATGGTAGGCTGTGTCTATACTGCAGGGTTATGCCAGCATAGTTATGACACAGTAGCTGTACTGCTATAGTCCCTGTAACGTAGACCTGGCCTAAATCTCTTACTTTGTGAAATTGTTGGGTCTTGCTACCTCTCTTTTGTTTTGTTAGTGAATGACTGTTTAATTGTACAACGTGCCCTGGGGGGTTGGAACATTCTATACTTGACAGGCAGGAATCCTCACTCAGTGAATACTGTAAAATATTAATTATTGTTTTCAAATATTCAAATTAAAATATTTCAATTATATTCCAATATTCAGATATTTTAGAATTTGTGGTAGCTAAATGTGAGTCCAATTTCAGTTCAAGTAAAGTTCAGTTCAGGTGCCAAGCTTCCCTGCAGCTCAAGAGGGTTCAGAGCTACTGTTACAGTTCAGGACCATCTCTTTAAAGTGTACAAAAACGTGAGATGTTTATCATAATAAGGCTCTTTGAAAATAACGTGGGTGGTTTTATTCACCTTTTTCCTCACGAGAGACCTCACAGCAAGGATGGAACAACAATATGGAAATTTACCATCTACTCCAACTGGACCCTGTGTTGAAGTCTCATTACTTCCATGTGTAAAAAGAAGTTAAAGCCAACTATAATACCCAAGATTTCTGTGCTACATCCAGTAAAAATGAATTTCCCTTTTACTTTTTAATTTTATGGCACAATCATATCAGACATACAGTTCTTAATTCACTGCACAGGGAATGTGTGTTATAAATGAATAATAAAGCTAAGTCGCTATTATGCCTAAAGCAATAGTCTGCCAAAAAGAAGTTATGACAGAGAATGTGTTTCATAAATTATATTTCAATTTAAACAAATCTGGTATGTTTTTAAGTATGGATATTATTATCTGTTCATACCAATTATTTTTAAGAAAGTTAAGAAATCGACAAAATCTTTAAAGAAAGAAACAATAATGTTCATTTATTATAAAAAAAGAGAATTCAAGCTTAACTAAATTCTGTGCCAAAACCTCTTATATTTAGATTTATTTTAAAGTAGACTGTACGGTAAACTAGTTAAGATTTTCTAAGCTACATTCTCCAGATTTCCATATTAAAATATGAATGTAAAACCAAGAGGTACTATCCCAAAATAGATGCTTTTGGTATAGACAGCATGTAATGTCCCTTCGGTTTAAGGCTTCCTAGGTTTCTTTTTTTTTTAAATAAATTATATTAGTCAAAAAAGAAGTTTCTGATATGAATAATGAACCCATGACAGATTAATCAGATGCTGGGCATATTTTTCTTAATAGAGTTTCAAAAATATAAAAAGTATGATGTAATGATTCTCCCAAATTATATGATGGAATTTTTAATTTTTTCTTTGTTATTTTATCCCTCCCCTCCCCCCATTTTTGCATTGATGCATGTGATTTATTTTATTTAAATTAATTAGTATGGGACTTTCACATGATTTGAGAAGTAACTTTTTCTTAAGCATTACTACTTTCTAACTATTATTCAGCAATTGCAACAATGAATACCTTGCTGGATTTTGTTTTCTATTTACTTATTTCATAATATGTGGCATATTCAAGTCTTTAAACACACAGCAGACTTTAAAGAGACTTCAAAGACTTTAACAGTGGGCTATACTGTATTTTGGTTCAGTTTCTCCTATTTTTCTTTTTTAGTAGGAACATAAAAAAATCTTGACATGTCAGATTCTGCATTCCCCACTGCCCTGCAAAATATATATCACTTTTAGCAGTACCTTACATCTCAAGTAGTGCTATTGTAATCAATAAGACTTACCCCCAGGGTTAAGACACTACTACTCAATGTCAAGAAGTTTGGCAGAATCAGGTTCTAAAGAAGTGAGACTATATTTTAGTGGGGAGCAATACTGTCATCCTGACAGGAGTCTGCATTATCTCTTAGACTGTCAAAATAAAATTAAAACTTCAAAAAACTTGTTTCTTTCACAAAATAAAATTTTTAGATGAAATAAAATGTTTTAGTTCCTTTCAAGAAAGGTTTTTTTCCCCCTTGTTCAGATAATTACAGCAATAAATACAAATGCCAAAGGTTTTTTATTCACCAACACAGAAGAAAAAGTACAAGCCCAAAAGAATACATTAAATGTAAAACAACCCATTAAAGTATTCTTACGTTTGATATTTTCAATGCACAAAGCTCAGGAAATTCAAATATACGGTTCCCAAGCAACTGTAATTCAGCCCTTTTATGCTGTAACTTATTCCCATGTTTTTTTTAACTAGTGCTGTTGTGCCTATACGGAGCTGCACTTTTGCAGAATTGGGTCCTTAACAAGTTGTCATTTTTAATACCATACTGAACCATTACATCATAATGTGGTGAAGAAGTATGCTTTGGTCTGGTGGGTTTTAGTTTCTAATTTAAATATGCCGAAAAAAGAAAAGAGGAAAACATTTCTTAAATGATCCTTTTTGAGGACAACAATAAAATGTAAATCAGGTCTTAAGTAAATTCAGCAAGAACTGGAAACAATCCAGCAGGGAGATTTTTCCCCCACACTTAACAGCACATACTGTCCATTTTTCAGTGAATGTTTCAAACGTAAATCCTTACCCACACTAAAATTAAAATTTCCATTTCAGCAGCTGCTATTAGCATAAAGTACTTTAGATGAATGGTATCCTTAGTGTTAGGACAAACTAATGTACACTAAATTGAAACTTCTGAATATTTAAATCCAATCTCACAAAGAATGCTTCAGAAAAAGATTTTGTTTAGTTGAAGAAATACATCAAAAATTCAAAGGACATATTATCCACACAAAGCTATGGTGTATTTATTATTTCTATAAATAAATATTTATTTGTATTAAATACAGTTTATTTATATATTTTTATATATAGGTAAAAATTAGGGTAAGAATATATTGGGCAATCTGGCAAACATTTATTTAATTAAAACTGAAACCTGATCACGTCGATTCCAACCCTTTCCCTTATTTTACTTTGAAGCAAATGACTTCAGCTAGTAGAACTGTGGAAATTGTATTAGTTCATCTCCTTTCTGCCAGATTCATTCTCCAGAGAACATACAGTGACAGCACTGACAAGGTGGTGAAGCCAAGTGAAAGATTTTAACATTTAATTTATTAAAACCTTGCCTTTTAATCTACTGATAAATACTCTTTCTGCAAATGTACATGGTCAGGCATGTAAAACATAATAACTTGACTGTACCTGAACAGTGGAACTAATCTCAGATGCAAAGCCTCCTGTCAGAGGGGCCTCATGGCTGATCAGCAGTCGCCCAGTCTTCACCACTGACTGAAAAGAAACAGGAATACCTCTTTTTAAAAAAAATCAGGTAATGTTTGTATCACACTATATCTCTGTAGCAATCTTTTTTTTTACTATATTACATGAGAAATAATACAAATTCTGTAATTTTAAGCTGCAATGATAAAATATACACTGTCCCTTACTGCCTCAGTACAACATTTTATTTGCACAGATGAATGAGCCTGAACATCCAAGTTTTGATATTAGCAGAATGGGAATTAACTGCTAGATTTTCTTCGGGGACAGAGCATCAATAGCGTATTTTATTTGTAAACTAACAATGAGAATTGAATAAAATTCCATTAGTTTGAATTGATCTTATGAATGTAAACAATGACATTTCTGAGGGAAAACAAAAATTGAGTTGAAGAAAAAAACAGCAAGGCCTCATTATCTGGCTATACCAAAAGAAGGACAGGAGATGCTTGATATGGTTTTAATCAGGCTGCAACTTTGTTATTAGATGTCTAGGACAACCAGGCAGATAAAAGTGCACAGTGAAGATAACCCCATGTTCATTCAATATCTACCCAGGAGGCTTCTGCCAGCTCCCCTCTTTTGTCATCCAGTTCTCCCACTCAACCCATTGCTGGGACTTTACCACTCCCCCCACCTTGAACTAGGGTTAAAGTGAGCTATAAGAAAGGGGGGATGGCTCTCTTCCGTACCAGTCACAGGGGCCCCGAATGCCCCCCATTATGGTCCTTTTACCAACACCTCCTTTTTAAGTTCATTACCAAGCCATTTATCTGGTCACTGTATCCCTTCCCTATGGAGTACTTGCACTGGGCGTCCGCCCCACACTTACATAATGAGTTGTGACATCATAGTCTAACTCCCTTTCCTACTCACCATAACAAAACCCTCCCTGAACCCGCTGTGGGGAAGGCAAAAAACCCCAACCCTACTCCACCTAGGTAGTGAGGGAAAAATTCCTTCCCAGACCCCCTAGAAAGGAGTGGCTAGCATGAAGCCCACAGCAGGTCCTGACCAAACCTGGTATTTTGCCACCTCAAAGGGAGGGAGGGTGAGTGCTGCTCTGCCTACTTTTCCCACCAGGCTTGTCCCTTTTCAACTCCCCAGCCCTTCCGGTCCCTGGGGATAAGTCAGCTTCGCCCCGCTGATCCACTCCCACTTTTGCAACAGCCTCTCCCTTCCGCCCCGCCCCCCAGCCTGTAAAGCACTATTCTCTTTCATTAGGTAAGCTGGACAATGGTCCCCCCTCTTCAAGGTGTGGTGAAACCTGAAGGAGCAGGTGATAACATTTATAGGATCAGGTCATCCATAAAGCTCACAGACCTTGAAAATATTCAAGTAAAAGTCTGCTTGCTAAAGAAAATTGAGAGCCATAAGCAAGAAGGCAATGATTTTTATGTTGCAACTACAGGCAAAATTTCTTATGAAAAAGACAGAAACAATATGCAAATGTTAGGAGATTTTAATGTGAACTGTTCAAAAAATAGCTACATAATACATAGTGTATACCATGAGTGCCATACAAACAAGCAGTGATTCATTAAAAAGTTTTGGTTATAGCAGATATGTGTTTATGCTTGGTTTGCTGTGAACCATAAGAACAACAGTTAAGTGCCTTTAGCCCCATAACCAGTGCACGACTCCAGTATATCTGACCATCATGAAACGTGTTGTTGTAACTATTTGTTACATCTCCTTGACCCGGGCAACACCAGATATCCACAGAGTCAAAACATTTTGACAATCATGTTTCACTTTTCATAATACTCATTTTATAAAGTGCATATAAAAGTTACATGAACTTCTGGAGTAGCACAGCAGGAAAAAAAGGATTTGTATATTTTAATCTTTTGAGGCCTATTGCAATCAGATTTTTAAAGCTAAGTACAAGAAGCCCCAAGAGTTAGGTACAACTTTTCTAACCATTCTGCTCTTTGATTTAAAATCTGAGTGGATGCTATTTTAGCAAAACCCTCAGAGACAATTTCTCCATCCAATAGGGCAGCCAAGTGATATCTTGAAGCTAAAAGGTAACTGCTATTTACTATAGAACACAGATTAAACCCTGATTTGAGTATGTCTCATTTCTTTAGGAGCCCAGGCGTGCTTTAGTTGTTTTGAACAGCTGGACCACAGATGCATTGGCGAGAGGCAGCCCTGTAAGTACTATATTCTGTAAATGAAGCAGCTTTGCAACAGTCACAGAGATACAAGACAAAAAATCATTTAAACATCAAAAAGTAATCTGCAGTTAAGCAGTCTTTAATTCCTTTTCACTTGCACTGGAAATCCATTTAAAGAGCAGGCGCTATTAACTACCCCATAAATCTACCAAAAATTCTTAGAGACAGTTCCTCATTGCAGAACAAAATGTACTAATCATCTCACTCAAGTTCTTGACTGATGAGATAAAGAATTTTACTGAATCATTTTTTAAAATTTTTGATTTTTTTTAAAACAAAAGGACATTGTTTTGATATTCTTCTTATATAATTTTGTTCTGAGAAGGGTGTGTACTAGGAATCTGGAGTGTTCCAAGCTATTTTTAAAACTACAGTACACTTTTTAATTTTGAGAATTTCACAACATGAAACATACACCCATCATATCAACTGTAGCGAATAAAAGGTGGAAACCAACTGTGGAAACCTTTATTCCTGTGAGAAATCCTTACTAGTACAATCAGTCCCATTGACTTCAAGAGGATTGCTCACATGTGTAAAGACTGTTAGAGTGAATAAGGATTTACATTATCAGACCCTAAGATTTCCTCTGATTGTTAAACCAGTTTTAAAACTGGATGGAGACTGGCCCCAGTGCCACATGACAAATGATGGCACTATTTCTCAGTAAAATGGAAGCAACCAGATTACTGTGGAGAAGTGCTTCACACCACGTGAACATTCAGAAGCTGTGCGGCATGAAAAGGAGTAACAGGATTTATTTTAACTACTGTTGTCTCCCTGAAATTACTAAAAGCATTTCATTTTTACGTACCTGGAAATATACCTTTACTTATAGAAGCAAAGGGACTGATAAATCTAACTAAGATGGGTAGATACCTTATTTTCATTAAATTTTGGTACAAGAAATGTATCTACTTTGAAAATGTAACACTGAGACGCAGTGTGAATTGCCTAATTTCTGTATTTGGAGAAAGGTTCAGCTTCACAAATAATTGTGTTATTATCTACAACACACAATGAAAAATTGTTAACTGTCGCTTGTAGAAGGATAATGCTTTGAATAGAACATTATATGGTCATTTATTTCTAAAATTTAAAAAAAGATTTATTCCCTCTTAAACCTGGGGTCAAAGTCACTCCATATTTGTCTAAAAGTTTCTAGCAGTGTCAGGAATAATTGAACACAATCCCAATTCACAGAAAGGCAAAGATGGACCAAGAGGGTGCCCTTATTCACCGAAGACATGCATAACATGCTCGCAGAAGCTCTGTAATACAGCACAGCGGCATATGGCAGTAGGGACCTCATTCTACACTTCCTTAGTCAATTGGAGATGTACTGGCATAAAAGTGGAGAAACATAGTAGTTAATCAGGTGCTTATTTTTAAAAAACATTGCTGGCATTACTCTCCCCCCACACACCACTCTGTCTGACACCCCTTAATAGGGGAGTTGGGGAAGGATGTTCGAAAAGAATGAATTTCCTAATACATGCCGTAATTATTTTCTTCTCTTTTTTGCCTGGTGTATGTTTTGTTTGGATTTTCTTCCCCACCCTCTGTGTTTACACTAAATTTCGTAGGTTTTCATGTGTTCAAAGTAGAACACACACTTATTTTATGTTATGTAGAGTATTTAAAAGGAAAAAAACACAGTAAATACAAGATGGTACAGAAGATTAGTACTGAGATATAAAAAACTTTTCTTCTTTTTGAATTTAATCCAAGTTACTCATGACGGAAAGTTTGTTGCCATCTGATAGCTAATCAGGACCAAAGAAAAGCACTGGTGGCATTAATGCAGTGCCTAATGGCACCTTGCTGTCAGTTGCAACCCAGTGGCCAAAGATTCAACAGGCCCAGAGACCTTAGCTACCCCTGTCATCAGTCCTTCCAGGTAGTGCTGACGCACAATTAGCAAGGCACTGCTTCAAAACTGTTATGCCATTGCCTGTGCTGTACCAGCTCAATGGAGAAAGGACTCCAGGGCTCATGATTTCTAAATTCACTCTAAATTTTATTTTTTATATTATATACATATATATACACATACACACACACACACACAAAGAAAAACAAACAAAATGTACTTTCCCCTTACTACTTTCCTATTGGGATTGCTTTAAAATACTCCAGTATGTTGGTAGGGAATATGAAGATTACAAAGTAACATATTGTCAGATTATAAAAAAGGCAGCATGTCTATCCTGATAAGGAAATGTGGTAAAATTAAAGCTTCATCTTTGCAAGTCTAATATTTGTGAACTATGCCCTAAGGCTTTTCTGATCTATGGCCCTATGTTTTTGCAATGAAGCGTCTTTGCAAATTAGTTTCCCTCTCTCTCACCACTCTCTTTATCCAAAAGATTCTATAATTATTTTAATATCATTTTCCTCCTGAATTCACAATTCATTATTTTGGCAACTTTTTCTACACCTCCAAGTGTCGACAACAGAGGGAAATAATATGATTCTGGCAATTATACAAGTTCTGAAATGTACGTGCTGAAGTCATCACTAACTTACTATGCCCTTATTGATGAGAAAGCAGGCTTAACTAAAACTGACAGTCAGCCAGCTGGATTTTACATTATTACTTTAAACATATCTCAAGGGTACAATTTCCACTGTAACCAGCTGGTTCATTACCAGGCCAATACCCCTGTAGGGAACTATGAAAAGCTAAAAGTACAAATTTTGCTTCTCTCTTGTGTCACAATGGACAAATTGTGTGTATTTTCTAAGCAGTAATAAAAGTCCATTCTCAGAGTAAAAGGATCTTCAGTCCATTATGCACAAGCCTGGCAGAATCTGACGTCTATC